AAGTACATCAGGCCAACCATCTGCTGGGAGCAGATGCTCATTAGGATGAAAGTCAAAAAGATTAGGCAGGCCAGATATCTAATACCCTACATTACCCAGGTCCCAAGCCTTCAGAAGATTTTTGTTCTTCCAGTAATTACCAGGAATATGTCAAATGCCAGGGCTTCTCATTTCAGTTTTATGAACCTCAAACATGCAGGAAAATATTATAAGCTTAACATTTTGGCAGATACTCCCTACTTGAACTCAGTTAAAACATGGCACAGAAGACAGAACAGAGTTGTTATACGTCAGACAGACCAACCTGGTTTAAAGTTCCAGGACTACTACCTCTCACTGTGTTATACTGTGCAAGTGACATAACTTCTCTGAACCTCAGTTTTCTTCCCTGTAGAATGGAAATGCACCATCTACTTCACAGGGTTGTTACAATGATTAAAGGAGATAATGATTGGGAAAGCATTAGAACAGTACCTAGCTCATAGTAGGCAGCATTAACTTCACTTCCTTTATTATCAGTTGCTGTTATGACAGAGCTAGAGCTGTCTGCTAAAAAGTCAGCAGGGGGAGCTCTTCAGATTTTTGTGTGTTTCCCCAAAAATATACCTGGTAGAGTTCAGTAGCTTTAAATGTATTTATACCTCTTTCAGTACAGGTTCAGAATTTACATTCTGAAGAAGGGGCATGAGGTGGGTTGATAGGTACTAGAGGCCATCAGGAACCTACAGAATTGTGGGGAATGGATCAAAATAGGTAGAAGAGATGAACATTCACAGATTATCAAAACACTTCTCTGTAGTAGGCTCTTATGGGAGGAAGTGGAAAATTAAGAATGGATCTTAATTTTCTACAAATCCATTTTTGTTGATGATTTTGAATGGCTATGGCTAGGGTCCACTGGAGACTCATTTGCTACCATAGTACTGGTCATGCCTCCTAAAATTACAGGTGTTTATATGCTTTTATCCTGCAGGTCTGTCAAATTTCCATGCTTCATCCTTGCAAAAAGCCACTCACCACACAAAGTTTTTGCTTTATGTTTGGAGCTAAGCAAACAGCGAGACTGAGACATGGCCAACCGCCTAGACTTTGAGCTACAGGAGGCCAGGGGTCATATTCACGCTGGTAGTCTAGAGCAGTACCTGGCACATGGGTGCAGAATAAATATCTGCTGAACATAATTATTCTGAGACCATCACATCCTCATTCCAAATCATACAAGAGGAAGTACCTTACCATAAAAATTGAGAGTGCTTACTGCTAAAAGGCCAATTTGTCTTTTGCTTCAAAAGCCATTATTTTATCAGTGATATTACAAGATCACAAGTTTAATAAAACATCTGTGTCTAGGAGGGCACAAAGGCTTGGGGAAAGGGCTGTTACATAAGATTTTCCTCAGCAAGCACCACTGTATTCATAGAAAGCTATGTCTAAAAGCCACTTAAAATACAGGCATACTTCATTTTATTGTGCTTAGTTTGCTTTATTATGCTTCACAGATGTTGCCCCTTTTTTTAAAAAAAAAAATAAGTTGAAGTCATGACCCTCTACCAACAAAAAGATTACAACTCACTTTATTAAGGTGGTCTGAAATTAAACCACAATATTTACAAGGTACGTATACCTATAGAGGAACTAAAATGAATAAGAAAAACCCTGAAGGTCAGCAAGTTCCCTGGGGGTGTTTTCTCTGTTCCAGAGTAAGATCCTAGAAAAAGAATGCTATTTTGATGCTTTGTCCTTTAAAGTAACTGTGGGGAGGCAGATTAGGAATCTCTGGAGTCTCACTGCCTGGTTCAGTTCTGGCTCTTCTACCAGCTTCATTACTCTGGGCAAGTCAACCTTCTAGGTTTTTAGTTTTCTTTACTGTTAGATAACAGCACTCATCTCATAGAATTACTGTGAAAGATGAAATTACTGGGAAAAATCACTTAAATCACTCCCTATTGCCCTGACCAGTTTGGCTCAGTGGCTAGAGCGTCAGCCTGTGGACTGAAGAGTCCCAGGTTCGATTCCGGTCAAGGGCATGTACCTTGGTTGCGGGCACATCCCCAGTGGGGGGTGTGCAGGAGGCAGCTGATGGATGTTTCTCTCTCATGGATGTTTCTAACTCTCTATCTCTCTCCCTTCCTCTCTGTAAAAAATCAATAAAATACATTTAAAAAAAAAAAAGAATTGATCAT